CAATTTGAACAAATTAACAGGTGCTACCTTAATTTTGTGGGACGTCTACGCATGTGAATATATGGGCCAAAAATTGCACATATCGTGTTCATTTGTGTTCATATTGTGTTCACGGTTCATTTGTGTTCAAATTGTATTCACGGTTGTTTATTTTTGTTCAAATTATGTTCACGGTTCATTTGTGTTCAAATTGATCAATACCGAAAATTGTTACTACCGTGTTTCTTATGCTATTTAGGAATTCATACAAGAATGAACATGAAAGATCAATAGTAAAAAAAATAATAATAATATGAATGCATATTTTTTGGGATTTGGTTGTTTGTAACTCCCCATTAATTGTTTGGGGGTTACAAATGAATTCAATTTACTAGAATACCCTTGATAAGTGTATTTTTTCTTTCCAAAATGCCCCTTTCATCATTGTTCATTAGGCCTCATTAAAATTCAAACTTTAAAATTTAATTTTTTTATTGATTAATTTTAACCGTTGATTATAGATTTTGATGGCCAAGATCAGTTAATAAGGTTAACACAAAAATGATGGTTAACATTTGATCTTTGCCCTATATATATATATATATATATATATATATATATATATATATATATATATAGCTTCCTAGCTCTAGAGTAGGTCAATTCATTTATTTTGTAATATCAGCTTATTGAGAAGCAGCCGCCAAAGAGAAACACGTATTTTGTATTCCACATTTGAATCAATAGACAAGCCGATTGATTTGCTATTTCCACTGTGTTAATCTTATTTCATTATTTCTTATTCATTTGGGAAATTAACAATTGGTATCAGAGCAGAAGATCAACATTGGAAGAAGACTCAGCCTCATTTTTTGGAAAACCACGTCTGTGAGTTTCATTTCACTGTTTTATTGGTTTTTATTCAGTTTTGGATAGGGGTGTTCGCGGTCCGGTTTGGGTGGTTTAACCTTTTAGACCACAAACCAAATCATAATGGCCGTTTATAAAAATTTCAAACCGAGTGGTTTGACATCAAGTGTCCAGATTGGTCAAACTAGACCACGAAAAGACAGTCTGGTCTGATCGGTTTAGGCGATTTAGGCCTTTAATGGACTTGAATAGATTGAGTTTGGAATTGAAAAACTTGAAGGAAGGAGTTGAATTACTTGGTTGATGTCTTGATGATGTCCGACGAAATCAAACCATGAATTAGGATAGATTGATAGAGTTCTTGAGAGATTTCAAAATTTGGAGACCATCAACGTCAAATGTGTCGATATGTTTACTGGTTTAGGGATTTTTAGGCGCCGATTCATTTGGATTTGATTGTGTTAGATGTTAGGCTTTATGTTGAGCTTAGGAATATATTTGGTTCATAGCCCATAAGTTAAAAAAGTTGGGCTTGCTAATACTAAAATAAATAAATATGCATGTATGTATATATATAAATTAAATTTAATATATATACACATTGGGCCGGGCCGGGCTGGTGATCACCGTCCCTGCCCCTGTCCGTTAAAGACCCCGAATTTGTCCCTAATCCTCACCCCGTCCCTAATAAGATGTCCCCAAACCCAGCCCGAAAGTTTTGGTTTTCGGTTTTCACCATCGGTTTCGATTTTTTTTGTTGCTATCCCTAAGTTTAACCCTAGACTAACCTAAACTGATTTTCACCCTTTTTTTACGAAATGCAACAACAATGCACAGAATAAGAACGACAAGATTACTAGAAAAATGAACTAGAAAAGTTCAAAACAGTAAATAAATATTGAATATCATATGATTAAAGTAGATTTAATGATTTTATACATGAATAAAATGGATCAAATTTGTTTGATTATTTTTTATTGAAGCTGGATGAATATTTTTTTATAAACATATCAATTTAATAACTTAAGTCCATCCAATAGTTTTCCGTTTATTAAATATATATTATTGTAATTAAAGATATTTGTATTTAGTTGAAACAAAGTAAATAATGTGACACCTCAAAATGGGTAAATAAATAAGTCTGAAAAGAAAGTAAAAAAAAAAAAGGAAAATGTGGAAAGGGGCCAATTATGCTATTTATTGAAGGTGAAAAGTGACTAAAAAGAGTCTTGTTCAATCAAGACTAAAAATAAAAGAAAATATCATATTAGGGATGAAAAATGTAATATTGACCAAAGTATTAAAGCCAGGGAGCTACATATCATTATTTGGTAATTCATAGGGTGTGTTAGTGTCAACTTATTCATACTTGAAGGACCTGTTCTGTTAATAGGACAAACTGATTTTGAAAAAGACTTAGAAATGACTAAATTTTGAAGCATCCTATTGGCTCATTTAACAGGCTAATAAGCCAACAATTTACAGATCTAAGTAGCTAGCACCTTCCTCTACATTTTTGGTTCAAGAAAGTCAAGATTTCGATGAGTTTTGAGGAATAAATCAATGCTCAAAGTTTTTACCTGAAAATTTTAGTTTATTAACGGTTGGAGGTAAAATACTTAACCAAATTTTGAGTTTTTCATATGTTTGCGCTTGGTCTTTGAAGTCATGTGTCAAACCTTTGTAGCCTTATGTCTCAAATTTTAGTTTAGAAGATCCAATTTTGAGTTTTTTTAAAATGATTTTCGAGTGGTTTAAAAGCCAAATTTTAAATAAGAAAATGAGACTCAACACTTAAAGAAAAATGATTTTCTATAGATTTTGCAAAAAGAATCGTCGAAAACGACAAAGAAACAAGGCAAACAACTTGTTTTTCCGGGTGTCGGCTTGTACAAATTTGACGTCGTCAGCTTTGGGCCGACAACGGCTGGGCCATATTTGCTAGGCTGTACAAATATGTTGGGCCGCATGGCAGATGGACCAAGGTCTGATCTTCAATGTTGGCCAAGCTGCGTATTTGGAGTATATTTTTGGGCTCCTTTTTAATAAAAGAAGCCTTTACAAAAAAAATTAGAGACATTTAAACTTAAAACTTTAAAAAAATTGTAATATACTTTTAATTGTGAAAACTAACATATTGTAATTTTTTAGATCGGTTTCGGGTTCGGCTATAACCAACGGTGTTCGGGAAAAAGAAGATTTTTATCTTAACGGGTTCCCCGAGGGGATCCGAGAAACCGCGGGGACCCGATGGGGATCCCCAATAAGATCCCCGACGGGGATGGGGACAATTACGGAGACGGTTTTAGTTATCGGTTTCGGGGACAAGGATACCAATAACCGGTCCGAACCCGGTCCGTTGCCATTCCTAGTTAAACTAATCATAAATTTGTGTCAAAAGTCATTTAGATTACTGGTTACTATCGCGAAATCATTACAATAGATGAAAAAGTAATGGAATTTACGGTTTCTTATAGTATATAGGAAGATCTTTTGAAAATATCTGGAAATAGATGTTCTGTTTTCGTAGATTTCATTGATTTTCTTTGATTATATCCAGTTTTATTTGATTTCGCCAAGGAATGGATGGAGATCGGAGTTTGGTTGTCGGAGGAGTGAGTGAGCGAACAAGAGAGATAGAGAGAGAAAGAGAGAGTCAAATTTTCACCATAAAAAGTGTGTAAATTTTGTTAACCAATCAGAATTCATATTAAGTGTTAATTTTTTTTATGAATTTGCTCCGACATGCTTTTTTTATTTTTAGTATTATATCCTTGTAATTTAAGATCCATTGATTTTCAATTAAGATTGATCCAACGATGTAGATTTCTTCTTACATTTCTCATGATAAATACTATTTTTACCAAAAACTAACCGATTTGTAAATATAAATTTTAAATTATACAACTTTTATTTTTTTAAGAGTAAACTAAAAGAAAATGAAATCAACTAATAGAAAGACAAAAATGCCTTGAAATGGAAGTAAGGTTAACAAAGTCAGAAGCAAGGACCCAATTTGTAACAAAAATTGAAATCACAGTAATGATACGTATAATCGTTTCGTTTGAAGTACCAGATCTGTAACATTTATATAAGTACATGGACCAATTTGTAATTTACTAAAAACATATGATAGACAAATAAGAGGTCTTTTCTTGAAGACAAATAAGAGGTCTTAATGAACCAAAAATATCTATTAATCATAATTATATTCTGGGACCAAAACGACATCATAAATAGCTTTTAATTTAACATTATTCTATTGGAGCAACATATTTTCTAAAGAGTTGATCTACTTGATTTTCACTTTTTAGTCCTTTTAGTTTATCAAATATCATTCAAGGTCCTTAACTCTAATTTCTTCTCTATTGCACAAGTCCTTAACATTGAATGGATGATCATTGGCATCTTAAACCACCTCATTTTCTATATTTTTTTAACCACAAGGGTGGTGTCTGATTGGTTTGAGCTTGGCTCTAAAGATCAAAAGTACCAGTAGTTTTCTCAGGTTCAAATCCAATGAGGAATAAAAATCCCCCTTGTGACTACGGAGATTCAAATGCAGTGACTCAAGGTCATCTGCAAAGTAGGTGGTCGTCCTGGATTAGTCAGCTCGCATAGCGTGTTGGATATCCAAGTCAATCAAAAAAAAAACACCCCATTTTTTTACATATTCCTAAATTAGACATGTCCTTTCCTTTTAATATTACTATATTATAGCATCATCTGAAATTAATTGTTCCCATTAATTTTAACGGTTAATTTTGTTAAATACTGTTAAATCCACTTTGTTAACCTTTATAATCGTAGATCCATTTGGTTGTATTTGTTTCCATTCACCTTTTGGAAAGTGATGATTGATGACAACAAAGAATTAGGATCACAAATGAATAAAGAAGACAAAAGTTCGAAAAAGAAAAGTAGAGGGGCCAATTGTGACAAGTAGTTAATTCCTTTGTCATGGTTTATATGTATTATAGTGAATAAAAACTCCTTTTATGTAGAAAGTTGTGCAATTCAAAGGATCCCACCTCATAACTTGTTGAACACAAATGAAGTAAGAAGCCATTGTCTTCTCCTATTGAATTCTCTCTTCTTTTGTCTGTTTCAAGAAGTTGTTGACAGCAAACGTCGATAATAACAGAGATAACTAAAGATCTTTATCGAGTCTATAAATACTGAAAAGAGAGCAAAATACAGAGCCAACCATGGTTAGCCCGAGAATGATCACATTCTTCCTCTTCTTAACCATCATGCATCATGGTGAATCGGTCTCTACTGTACCGGTATCAAAACCTCACGGTTTGGAATCCTCATCCACCGGAGGTTTGCTTCAAGATAATGGGGTTCGGGCCGCTTATTGGCCTTCATTTACTGGATATCCTGCTTCTTCCATTGACACGTCATATTTCTCTCATGTTTACTACGCGTTCGTTCTGCCGTCTCCCACAACTTACGAATTAGACATCACGTCCTATGATGTTGACAAGCTACTTGAGTTTACAAACGCAACGGGTGGTTGGAATCCGCCTGCGAAGACTGTGTTATCCATTGGCGGCGGCGGAGGTGGTTCTTTACCTGAAACCTTCTCTCAAATGGCTAGCCAAGAGTATTCCCGTGCTAGTTTTATCAATTCAACCATTAAAGTAGCTCGAGATTACGAATTTGACGGGATCGACCTTGATTGGGAGCTTCCATCAAATGAATCTGATATGTCGAACCTTGGTTTGTTGTTTAGGGAATGGCGTGAGGCACTCGAATACGAAGCCAACGAGACCGTAAGACCCCGCCTCATTTTGACTTCAGCCATCTATTATGCCTCGATCATTTCCTTTGATGGTCCACCTCGATCATACCCAATCCAAGCCATAAGTCAATATGTCGATTGGATTAGTCCAATGTGTTTTGGTTATCATGGCAATTGGGAAAATTTCACGGGATCGCATTCGGCATTATACGACCCGTCCACGAATCTCAGCACAGATTTCGGTATCGGGTCTTGGATTCGAGCAGGTGTGCCTCCCGAAAAGATTGTCATGGGGCTAGCAGCCTATGGACCGACATGGTCATTGCAGAACCCGAATGCCAACACCATTGGAGCCGCGACAACAGGCACGGGCCCTGGAGGCGGCATATTAGTCTACTCTCAAGTTATTGATTTCAACCAGGCCAACAACGCAACAGTTGTGTTCGACAACATAAGCATTTCCTATTATTCGTATTCAGGAGATTCGTGGATCTCATACGATGATGTTGGATCAATTGAATCGAAGGTCCATTATGCACGAGCTCGAACCCTAGCCGGGTATTTCTTTTGGGCGCTAGGCCAAGACTCGGATTGGGTTATTTCGAGTGCAGCTTCACAAGCATGGTCAAACTGATATTTCTTTAATATGTTCTATCTACACAACATTGCAATGAAAAAGTACCCCTTGTGACAAAATCTCTGAACCCCATTAAATTACTGCCCAAAAGAGCCCTTGATAATTCTGACCTGCAGGGTTCCATAGCACGAATCTATGATACCCTGCAAGAAATATAAACAAAAGAAGTAGCAAACATATTCCGGTTTTAAATGATTAAAGAGGAGAACTTACAATATATTGATTCTAGATGAATATAACAAATGTATCGAGTATGAAAAAAGGTACATAAGATATCATTTTCGCTCTTTTGAACTCGATCACCAGAGCCTAAGTATGGCGATGAGTCGAGTAAACCACAATTTATACACACACGAAGCCATCCAAGACCAAAACTGGCAGTCGGGTAGACAGAGTTTACGTGAAAGAATGAAAAAAGATCGATAACGACTCACTAGATCTTGGAAAAAAGCCGACTTTTAGATGATGGTGTACCTGTCCGCCACGGGTTCGAGCTGAATTTCCATTCTTTCAGAAGAAAGCGATTCTTTCTCTCTGTGATTCCCGTTTGAGCTCAAAAGATCAGCATCCTCATCTTCGCCATTGCCCAAAACCCAATTGCTTCTTGTTATTATCGCTCGCCTACGCTTTTGTTCAACATACTCCAAGTATAAAACGGTGAGAGCACCTAGCGATACCCAAACAATCAAAGCCCACATTAATCCAATAGTGTTTTCGTCATCATATCTTTCGCCTAAATGCTTCATTCCACTAATAAGAGCAGCAATGCCGACAAAAATGGCGGATCGGCCAATGTAAGCGTGCACGTATTCCCAAATAACCCGTCTGGATGACGGGTCATCGTTAACAGGCTTTTTAGGTCTCAGGTACGCGTTAACAGGCTGTATGCAGCCCATGAGTATGGTTAAGATTCCGAATTTAACATGTAATGACTCAAGATGGAACCCACGAAGCTCAGCAACAGCAAAAACGATTCCAAGAAACGTGATTGCTAACCCCGAGTATTGCGAGTAGACATGAATCTTGAACCATACGTCACCGCTCAGATGTTTCGTGTATCGAGCCGCCAAAATCCCGCCCGGAAGTAACATACCCCAGGCTAGAAACATCATGAATCCGTGAGCGGCTAACACGGGCCGCAAATCCTCCTCAGCCTCGGCTGAACCGCGAATGAGTGAAACACGGACCGGTTTATTGCTTTTAACGGAATGCATGTTGCTTTGGCTCAAGTGGTCAGATGACCATTTAGCCCCCATGGCCCAGATGACTTTGAGCGGAGTCGTGGGTTCGATGATATTGTTGCATTCTTGCCGTTCTTTCCTGTTGCAATTGGGATCCAATGGCCGAGTGAATTCTAGAGTGATGACTCCGTTTTCTGATTTGCATCGGACATATGTCAGATTTTCATTGGTTGGGTGCAGACTTTGGGCATTCATCCCGTCGATCCAATACGTGTTAACCCTTCCCGTACCATTAACATCGACCCATCCAACATAAGCGAAACTGTTCTCCATTTCAGACCCGAACCCAATTGCAAGATACCCGCTTTTCTTCTCGGCACGAGCTGCAATAGATATCGACTTGTCTGATAGTGTCCAAAAGAAATTAACCTGTTGATCGTCCAAAAGAACGCTATTTTTATACATATCGTTCAAACCACCATCGACCACTTGAACCTTCCAACCCATCTTTTGAGTGTAAACCGACTGATAGTAGACTTGATCAGGAGTATTTCGGTCTGGTGCCCATGTTAACTCATTGGGACTGGACTGCACCCCTTGAGCCGCTGGTCCACCAGCATAAACTGTCTCGGACCCATTTCTCATGGTTGCATTCCCGCCAAGCGGGTCAGAAGTAACGTAAAAAGCTACGTCATGACCAGCTTGTATAGAGAATGTCACTGGGACCCCTCTTTCGACCCGCAAAAGAGGTGATTCTTTCTTGTTAATATACAGAACCTTTGAAGGGTTTGGAGGGTTTGGGTAATGCAAAGATGGACCGGATGTAACAACGAGCGGTTCTTTTTTGTCGGCAATCACGACATCTTGATCCTCCTTATTTTCTGCATCGAGTGGCCCGTAACAATCGTTAACACTCTCGGAAACATTAATGTGCACGTGGCCAAAAGTCTTGCCATGATTTTGTGGAAGATAATAAGGTCGAAGGGAATCGGGTGGCTTTATCAAACCTAAAGCCCATATGCAGGTCCGTTTCTCCGTCACATTCACATCCCAATCGTACTTCTTGTCTAAAGATTTCAATGGCCTCTGATAACGAATGAACGAAACTCCATCTTTCCGGTGCCCATAAACTAATCGTGTATTGTTCACCGAGTCATCCGAAACATCATACATGGTATCTGGACACACACCCTCAAATCGTTCATCTTGATTCTTGATACATTCACTATATTTGGTGATATAATAATCATCTGCAAATGGCACACCCTCTTCGGTAAAACCGGCCACCGCAACATCAGCATTAAGCATATGATCGTGTTCCCTATTCGGTTCCGTCCACCCAAACGCCATATAATTCTGAATCCCAATCGCACCTTCTAAACCGATATCGATCACATTATCTTCCTCCCTCAATGTCCATCTTAATCTGTATGTATCCGTTAACACCTTACAGTTTTCAAACATAGTAGGCTCCCCATCGATCTTAATACTAGAATTCCCTTTAGTAATATTACTAGGGTTAGAAGATGGGGTAGGAGCCGATGGTTCTTGTGAATTTCTCAACACGACATGCCCAAAATCTGATGCCATGGATGTATCCCAAACAGAAACAACTTTAATCTTATCCCAACTAACATTTTGCATCAAATTAACTTTAAAACTATCGTTTCTATAAGTTGTGGTGTTCAATTTATCATCAGATATAACGAACCCAGATGTTAAATTCTCATAATCATCACCAACAGCACCCCACCAATGAACATGAGAACTCCCTGGAAGCATATCAAATTCGCTAACCCTAAAAGAACAATCATTGATTATACTAAAAGATCCTCTTACCTGATGTTGAACCATAACAAACTGGGTAGTGAAATTAAGTAAAGAAGTGTTGGTTTGGGGGCAATTTTGAGCATAAACTGGATCAGATTCGGAGAACCCAAATAGGTATACGAGAAACCATAATGAGATTAGCAAAGAAGATCGTGAGATCACCATTAAACTGATGAAAAATGTGAGATCTGATCTGGGTATTTGTTTGTTTGAAATGGGTGCTAAAGACTTTAGAGAGAAAAACGGTGACTTACCAGTTTTGATCGCCGGAGAAGGGGGATGTGGAAGGCGGCCGTCAAGTCTTGGAGAGAGAATCAAAAATGGGAGGAAGACTTTTCTAGTTTCCTGGTAAATGCTCTGTTTTGCTTCAGGTGAATTGTTTACTTTTGGCCCTTATAAAATGTAGTTTTACGAATATGGTCCCTTTAAATATGAAATTGTATGCTATGACACCCCCTTCCATCATCTTTTGAGATGGAGGATTCTATGGCATGTGTTTCTTTTCTTACTTTATTTTGTCAAACTTTGAAAATATTTTTATGTCAATTTAGGTCCCTGCAGTATGCCTTGATTTTTGATTTAGTCCTTAAAACGAATTTACATAAGTCGTCATTGTAATAGTATTTTACATAGCAGATAGGTCTCTCGAGTTAACAGTGTTAATTTAAGGTGTGCTAGTCCCCTCATGTGCCTCCTCGTATGAGGAGTAGTTTAGTCATTTTACCCGTCTTCCTCTTCACCTCCTCCTCCTCCTCTGTCACACCAAAGAACATGCATCATTACTCATGACTGACCACCACCCTTCACAACCACCTCCCAAGGGTTGAAGAACATTAAAAGTTTTCAAGCATTCATAATTGAAACCCATCCACTAGGAAAAAGAATCGAAGAACAAAACCTGTAATTCTTTTACAACACAAACTCAAAAAACTAAAATCAAATTGGATCAAAAGCAATGATAACCTACTGAAAATCATCTTTTTATTAGATAGAAATGCAAAATGGAATACAAACTCAAAAGCAAACGCTAAATTCAAAAAACCTAAAAAAACAAATTCAAGTCTTTGGAGGGATGGTGGTGGTGTTATCGTTTTCATCATAGTGGTAATGGTCAGAGTTTGAACGAGAGAGAAACACAAGGGGGCTCGGGTTCCAATGGACTAGAGAAGGAATAAGTTTAGGGTTTCAGTTTCAAAGATCTCCACTTTAAAGTCTCCAAATCATGTTAAGCATCGGTTTCAAATATTTTGGCTTCAAAGAACCTCACACCAATGTGTAGGATCAGTTTCGTTGGAGGTTGGAATCGAGGGTGGGGACATGGTTCACTATAGAACTTGAGGGAGTGGAGTTCGTCGGAGAAAATAAGCAGAGGGGAAGGGTTCATAAATTTGCATTTTGGGGTTTTCACAATGACACAAATCCTTATTTTGGTTTTTTATAAAAATGGAGAAAGTGTAAAATGACTAAATCGATACATTGTTATTGTAATTGTGTGCTAATAAACAATACAAAGGAATTGACATGTCAGGACGTTTACACCTGCCCGTAATAAAATAGTTAAAAGAACTATTAAAAAGTTCATCGAATTAACAATTGTTCGTCTTATATAAACGCATTATAATATGTTTTTATAACGAAGTTCTATGTTTGTGAAATATTAAATTATTAGACGAAATTGAGCAACTTAATATATATATATATATATATATATGACTCAAAGTAAATACTAAAACTTTTAGTGGAAATTCTATAAGAAAAGTAGTAGTTGTAATTTATACAATAATTTAAGTATAACATTAAAAATCAAAATAAAACAGTTGCTAAAAGAAAAGCGAAATTGTTTAAAATAGTCAAAGATTATATAAGTAATACTTTTGCAACTTGCATAACTTAATTTTTTTCAATATAATATTTAAGAAAATTTAGACAATACGTAAATTGTATAAATGCTACTTATGTAATGTCTACATGGACAATCTATGTGGTACACACTCCTCAAGTAGCACTTACGCAAGTCTACTTTTTCTTCAAATCATACTGAAAAAATGGTTGTGGAAGTTACATAAGTGTCACTTGTATAATCTCGGCTATTTCAATTAATAACTTAAAAATGTAGCTATACAGTGAGAAGTCAGATTGACTGTTTTGAACAATTTCCGTATAAAAAATGATGGAGTCACATATATTTGAGTAAAGTTCTGTTTTGATTTCTAATGTTTGTATATTTCAACAGATTTCATCTCTAAATTGTTTTAACGGTTTTGATCCCTTGTGTTTGTCCATTTTCAACAAATATTCTACCGTTAACCTTTTCAGTTAAATCCAATTAAATGAGAGGTATTTTAACTATTTTACCTTTTCCACATAATTTTCTCTTAAAATTAAAAAAATAACATATTATATAGTATAGTAACCTTTTCCATATGTGAAGGTGTGAAGTCCCGTCCCTACCCTGAAAGCGAACAGAGAATAACTTAGACATGCAATTCACCTACACTTTTAAAAATGTTCCCCACTACAATCTTTATTAACTATTTTATAAATTATTTTATATACATTCTAATTATTTTTAGGGGCCGTTTACCAATTTTTTTGGTTAAGTGCTGATTCAGGTAAGAGGTCTGACTGTGATAAGAGGTCTGACTGGATTAAGTGCAAATTGTATTTTCTTGTTTACCAAACATTTTGTGTTAAGTGCTGATTGAGTAAAAAAGGCCATTATATCCTTTTTTTTTTTGGAATAAGTATTAATTGAAAATTATTGTATTATTTAAACCCAATTATATTTGAATAAAATTAAAAGAAACTGGCCCATATCAGCCCAAATACATTTAAGCCCAATTATATTAATCTATATGTATTTCTTTTCCACTCAAAACCCTCAAAACCCTATTTCTCTCAACCTGAAACTTCCCTTATTTTCTCTCCCACATCCAGACCGACCGCCGTCGCCGCCTCCCGTCGACGCCTTCCGTCGCCGCCCTTCTGTCGCCGCCCTCCCGACGCCTCCCTCCCTTCTCCGCCCTCCAGTTGCCTCCCTCCCGTCGCCGCCCTCCAGTCGCTCCCTCCAGTCGCCTCCCTCCCGTCGCCGCCCTCCAGTCGCTCCCTCCAGTCGCCTCCCTCCCGT